CCCCAAAACCCCAAAACCCCAAAACCCCAAAACCCCAACAAAAAATTTGTGGATTGAATAATAGAATAATTTCAAAGATGCTCTCTAGAGAAATTATGCAATTTAAGAGAAGGATAGGCTATAGCTTACTGCCAAACCACCGACTCTTCGGCAACAAGATTGAAGGATGGGTCCTGAACAATACTTCTCTAGTCAAACACAAAGATTCTGAAGGGCTTCCACAGCCCATAGTTATAGAAGAAGATGATAATATCCTGGTTCGGAAGAAGAAAAATCGAGAGAATACAGTTCAATTAACTGAATACCTCAAAACTAGGGATATCAAGGACGTCACAGAGGTTGAGAAACAAGAGATTGTGGCCAGAATCCGCGCAACTCTTCCTAAGAGACGTGGTATAGTCAATGCCATCAAGCCGTATATCAAAGAATTTGATGAGCTTACTGAGGAACAAAAGTATCAGATGATTGATAATTACCTCACTTCGACAGAGCTCATGAACAAAATGAACCTTACCCTCAAAGAACTCCAGTACATTGAGGATGAAGATTACTATGTTGACATTGAGGAAGAACTCAAGAAGGACCTGTATGAAAAACAAAGAGTTATTGATGACTTCGTAATTGAGCATGAAGAAGAAAGAAAAGACTTACTAGGCTTCTTTGAAAATATGTACTTCAAAGCTCAACCTAATAAATTTGCCCATATTGTGTATGCCAACCAATTCAACCTGACGAGAGTTAGGGCTGCTCTTTCAGTTGGTTGTTTCAATACAGCCCTAGCAACGGTATGACTAGGTATGGTCCATCCTCTGCTACCTGTGATTCTTGCATATGATTATTACCAAATTATAAAGTATTGCTTCCTATTGAACTCAACCGTTCTCAGAATGCGTATTTCTAAGACAAAGCAGAAGATCTTCTTAGAAAGACTTAATTTCCTTGGATACTGGAAGAAGCCAAAGAATCACTGGAGCTGGATTAGAGACTGCAAATTTGTAGGAAAGACAGAGTATAAAGGTCTGAACCCCAACTCGATTGGCCTTTTACCCTCCCTCAATGCTCTCAAGAGGCTGTTCAACAAGGTATCATCCCAGGATGTAAGCTTCTGATAACTTTTTAGCAGCACCAGTCTCAGAGGTACAAGAGGAAAGTGCAAAAGACAGGAGGAGAGTTTTGCTCATTCTATCATTTCATGTGTAAAAATAAAAACTACTACATTCCCACTGATATGGTGGACAGGTCTAAGTCCATTCTCAATGAAGACCTTGTGCTCCAAGGGATCATGAATGGCGATCTGAATAGAGTCCATGAGTACGACTTCTACCACCATGATGAAGAAATTTTGATAAATCGTGAAGAAAGTCGAGAAGGTCTCGAAGATTTTGGCTACGAGAATCACATCGACCTCTTAGAAGAGGAAAACCGCAAGGTATAATCTCATAATTAACATCTAGAAACGAGCTTACATGAAATATCACCCCAATAGAGATTATAATGGTAGGTACGGGAATGAGGCCCTTAAGAAGCCGATGGGCGATGATGGGACCTTCATTGATAATGGATATCGTTAAAGTAGTAAATTCCTTAAAATTTCAATCCAAAATGCTAAAAATGGGGTTTTGGGGTTTTGGGGTTTTGGGGTTTTGGGG